TAAATGTGAGTAGAGTTGTCAGAAGTGTTTCAGATTTCAAGTGCCTCTCATGACATGACATCTTACCTTGTTAAATGTGATTCCAGTATAGCATGTTGTGTGTGTGTGTGTGTGTGTGTGTGTGTGTGTGTACAACATAAGATTATAGCGGGAGGTCAGTCCGATCATTAGGCCTTGTGGGTCAGACCCGTCCAACACTGGCTGAGCATTCACAAAAATATCCCTCCACCTGGGTGACACAAGTGGACTACATTTCCCAGCCTCCCTTGAAGCTAGGTGCGCCCACGTGACTGGATTCTGGCCAATAGAACGTGGGCAAAAAGAATAGGCCCCTGAGAGGGAAAGTAAGGGCCTCTCTTATGAGGCTGCTGGGCGATTAAATAAAAGCGTAGATTGAGAGATCCAGTAATCCTTTATCCAGTCGTGAGATTGTGCTGAGTGAGTCTGGAGACCCAGAAAGCAGTGAGGCCTGAGCCTTATCTCCCGGGGCCTCCCGAGCTGGTGCTGGATGTCAACTTGGTCATGCACAACTATGGGACAAAAAAGGGATGATCCAGGTCCTATTTGCTGAGTGTATTCAGGAGACATTCCCCCACCTTGCTTGGGCAGGGGACAGTCAGGAAAGAAGCATTTCTCTGGCTTCTCTTCTCCCGGAGGGGCATTCCAGGCAGTGGAGACTGAGGGGGCAAAAGCAGGGAGGTTTGAAAAAGCCTGAGATGTCCCAGGACCTCAGCTCAAGAAACTGGGGTGGTAAAGTTTAAAAATTAAATATTAACAGAAAAAAATTTCTACCTTGGGGAATGGCAGGAAATTAAGTTGAATTAAGAGACTAACTCTTCATCATTATGAGAAGCTCATCAAATATGATTGGCAATGTAAAACCGTTGTTGTAGAATCAACCATTTTTATAGAGTGTATACTAATTTTTTAGGACTTTTGGAAAATTTACGTTGAGATTTATGTGGAAAAAGAAATGTAACTATATTATCAAAATTCATGTAAAATGGGCCGATTGGAAAATATTGTCCCTGTACTGAGTTGGGAATAAAATAATCAGACATCTTTACATTTCTAGCTGTTAGGAATATGGTTCATAAAGCTTGAATAAGTCATAAACCAGGACTCTTAAAAGAAAAAAAAAAAAAAGCCGAGTTTGGCTTGGCTGGGAAACTAGGCCCGCAGCACCACCGTGTGGCCATTTAGGAATTTGCGGGCTGGGACTGTTTGACGCGGAATCCGAGGCGGGCAGATCATGAGGGGTCGAAGACTGAGTATTCCAACAGTTGAGACAGAGGAGGGGGAGTTGTGGCGAGAGTTCCCGTAGAGAAACGGACCCTCCGTCTGCTTTGTCAGGGAGGGCCCCCCGAGCGACGGGTGCTCAGGCTGGGTTGTTAACAGTATTTATCGAGCATGTGCTACATACCAGGCGCTCTCCTGGGTGCTGGAGACACGGTGGCAGATGAAACAGACCAAGATCCCTGCCCTGGAGGAGATGGCACAGACAGAACAGCAAAGGCCCCGAGGCGGGGGTATGTCTGGGGTGTTTGGGGAACGGCAAGAAGGGCAATGGGCCCGTCGGGAGCGCTCACGGGGGAGGGGGAAGAGATGGTGTCAGAGAGGGAACGGGACCGAATCGCATGGGGCTTTTCGATTCTGTGATGCCATCAGCACCTCTCATCCCTTGGGCCTATCCTGCATCTCCTCCCGGGTCGTCCCTTCTTTAGGAGCATAGACTCTACCTCCGACCACCGTCCGTCATCATCGCGTCCTTGAGCACGAAACGTCCTTGGTCTTTCTCCCGCGATAGTACCCGCCTGGCGACCCCCCACCCTGGTTAAAACGCCGCCCTCTGCCTCCCCTGGGCCAGCTGCGCTCGCGAGTGCGCACGCGTGTGTCCGCCGTGTGACCGCACGCCTTGAGTGCGCCCTCAGAACCGATGCGCACTTTTCTCCTCCGGTCTCTAAGAAATCATTTCCTCAGTTTCTCCCTCAATCTGCGGCACCCCTCCCACTCTTCGTTCTCACTTCTTTTGCTAAAAAAAAAAAAAAAAAAAAAAACAGAAGCAATGAGAAGGAAACTGCCCTATGCTGATCCCGGGGACACTTCCCGCCCACCCGCAGAGGGGCGCACGCGCCCCGCTGCCCTTCCCACGGCCATGCCTGGACCATCTGGAATAGGAACCGACTCCCTTCTCGTCTCCCTACTCGAAACTTTCCCTCTCGCGATACTTCCGCCTCCCTCCTGCCTCCTTATTTGCACGAGGCTCGAACCTTTGTGTTTTTCAGGATTTCACTTCACTGAATGCCCACACTTCCTCCTGGTGCTGCTTCCTGGAACTTGGGGGTCCACCTGAAGGACCTTCCTGCTACAGCATCCCCAAAGCAACCAACACTCAAGAGCTGGGGCTCCCACCCTAAAAAGCAGATCCTCCCGCCTTAGCGAAGCCTTCGGACGATGGCGATCTCCACTGGCACCCGTCTGCAACCCCATAGGCCACAAGCTCATGGCCAAGCTGCTTTCTATACCCAGAGAGATCGCAAAAGACAACAAGTGATTATTTCTGTCCTCAGCCGCTCAGTTTGGGGGATCATTTGTTACACAGCATTAGCTGACTAATACACCCGCCCGAGTCTGCTTTCCTCCAGGTCTTTCCAATCCTTGTGAATGGGAATAGCATTTATATAGTTGTAATAATGTAAACACTGACCTGTTTTTCTGGCAACCATCCTTATATTTAAAAAAAAAAAATTTTTTTTGGTAGTAAAACTTATGCAAAGTAAAAAGTAAAACCTTAAATCTGCAGCTTGATGGATTTTTTTTGCCGATGTACACACCCAGGTAACCAACCCCTCAGACTGAGGTAGAGAACCTCTCCAACACCCCTGATGCTCCCTCATGCCCCCTCCTTGTCAACGCCCCTCCCGAGGACCGCCGCCGTTCCGACTTCTCCAACCAGAGACTCGTTTTGCTTGTTCTTGGATTTGATAAAAATGGGACCATAGGGCATTTTAGTCCGTCTGGGCCGCTATTCCAAAATATCATAGGTTGGGCGGCTTGTAAAAAAATCACGGTTCTAGAAGCTGAAAAGTCCAAGCTCAAGGCACTGACTGGTTGGGTGTCCAGCGAAAGCCCGCTTCTTGGTTAATAGCCGGGCGCCTTCACACTGCGCCCCCACACGGAAGAAGGGATGAAGGAGCTCCCATCCTGGGATGGCAGACAGCTCCCAAGGGCCCAGCTCCAGCTGCCGTCACCCTGGGGACTGGGCTTCAGCATGTGGACTCGGAGGAGGACACTGCGTTCAGTCCACAGCGAGCAGTGTGGGCTCTTTCGAGTCCCTGTTCTTTACCCATCGTTATGTCTGTGCGAGTCACCCAGGTCGTGTGAATGATCCATTCATTTCTCCTTATTCTTGGTCAGGAACCCATTGAACGACGACGCACCACACTGTGTCTACTCTCACCCTGCCAGACACACAGGTCGTTCCCAGTTTGGAGTTGTCACGGATAATGCTGCTAGAAATGCCTTCCGATTATCTTTTGGTGACAGGAGTACTCATTTCTCTTGAGTGTACCCATGAGCAAAAACGCTAGGTCACAGGGTATGCTATGTTCAGCTTCAGCGCATATTGCTAGCCATTTTCCCAAAACGATTATGCTATTTTATAGTCTCACCTGCAATGTATCAGAGTTCCAGGTGCTCCACATTCTCACCAACGCTTGTCACTGTTAGTTTTTTTTCCTTTTTTTTTTTTTCACTGTTAGCCAGTCTGGTGAGAGCGTAGTGGTATTGCACTGGGATTTTAATATGCATTTCCCTGATGAAAAGTGATGATAAATGCTGAGCAGTGATCTAACTAAAATTATTACATAACTATACTAAAAAGGAAAGGGGAAGAGTGTGTGTAAGAAGTGTGGGCAGAGGCGGGAAAGAGAGTTAAATCCTTATTTTCCACAGTGGGAGAGCAGAAGACAATGTCTAAAACTGATAAATCAAGAAGTAGCAATACGAATGTTTTCCTCAGAGACTCAGAGTTAATGCTGAAATTATCAGCTGTAAGAAACGAAAGTGGTCGCCTCTTGGGAGGGGAAAAATGGGAAGAGGGGTGTCGTAGGACTTCTTTTAAACAAGTCTTGTAGTACTATCTGAGTTTTAAAAGAGTCTCGAAGTGTGTTCGTCTGTGTGTGTGGTTACGTGTGTTTGTATGTGTGCATGCAAAAGATAAAAGAAATTCCTGAAGGAAGAAATAAAAATGACCAAAAAAGAGAGAGAGAGAAAGAAAGAAAAATGTTCAATGGTATTAATCATCAGGGAAACGAATATTTCAACAACGACGAAAAAGCATTTTTCTCTTTTACCCATCAGATGACATGGAGCATTGGTGAGGCTGTGGGACATCGGGGCTTCGACGGCCCTACCGTTGGAAGAGGACATCACTTAGTTCCTCTCTGGGGAGGAACTAAGTAACGTGTGTCAAGATCCATGACTTATATTCGGTCATTTCTGGAGCCATTTTAGTTCTAGACATTGACATGGAGATATTATGGAGCAAAGACACAGAAAAATACATGTCCAGACGTTACCTCAACATTGTTTATAATATTGAAAAGAGGGAACAACTCACATAGGGCATAAGATACACAGTGTTACATTTATACTCTGGATACTATGTAGCTGTTTAAAGAGTAAGGTGTATTGAAGTGTAAGGGATGAAGGATGCTGAGGTCTGCAATTTAATCGGAAATCAAGAAAATGAGATGCATGGAGGAATGGACAGAGAAGGATTCAAGCTTGGCACTACTGACATTTGGGGTTGGGTAATTCTATGTTGTGGGCGGCTGTCTACGCATTGTAGAATGTTTAACAACTTCCTTAGCCACTGTCCACCAGATGCCAGTAGCACTCAGCCCAGTTGCGACAGACAAAAGTGTCTCCAGACAATGCTAAGTGTCCCCTGGAAAGAAAAGAGCTCCCCAGTTTGTGAACCACTGGGATAAAGAGATGGAGAGATGGGTGGAAATGTGATGATGCAGATACAGCGAAATGTTCATGAGAAAATTTGGGTTGTGGGCATGAGTGTTCGTGGTAAAATTCTTTCAATATTGCAGTGTGTTTGAAATTTTTCATGACTAGATGTTTAAGAAAAAAAGGAATTAGGTAAATCCGTGTGCTCTGATTTTTTAAAGACAGACAAAAACCTAATATGGAGTGATAACCATTGGACACCAAAAGGGAATTCACGTGATCCATTTTAGGTGACATTCAAGAACAGCAAAACTAATGTGTGGTCATAGAAATCAGGGTGTTCGTTACCTGTGGGGAACATTGACAGTAGCAGAGAGCCCTATGGGGAGCTGGATATTCTCTCTCACGTGTGTAAAAATCCATCAAGCGATGACGTAAGTGCTCGCGGGTTAGGAGGTGACAAATATGATGTCTGCAACTTATCCGAAATACAGACAGTAAAAGCAGATGGGTTGCTGGATGGACAGAGAGACAGACAGAGGGATGGCTGTGTAACGGGAAAACCCAGAAAAATGTGTTAATTGCAGAACCTAGGTGGTGGGTCATCAGGTTCACTACCTAATTCTTTCAACTTTGCTATATGCTTGAAAAATCTTCATCATAATATGTCAGGGAAAATAAATAAATCCACAGTACCGTGCACTTGATGTGTGCATTTGACTATATGGAAGTCACATCTAATTTTTTTTTTTTTTGTAAGTCCAAAGTATATGGTTAAGTGAAGGGAAAAAAAAGTTGCTGATCAATGAGTAAAGTCAGTTTTTATTTACTTAAAAAATGTGTCTGCTGATGTTGATATGTAAATCCAAGCTGGAAAATCAAAAAGACTGAATAGAGTTTCTCAGAAACGCTTGTTGCCCCATAATCAGCGAGTCTGTTGAGAAATGAAAAATGTGGTTTCTCGGCCTCTCCCCCAGGCCTTCGAAATCAAAGTCTCTGAGGGTGGTGCCGAAAAGCTACCCTATAACTAGGTTTTCTGATGCTCGTTAATATTTGAGAAGCTTCACCCAGGAAGAGGGCGGGCAGGTCCAGAGACAGACACTGCCAATTCTTTTTGTGCTTTTCCAGTGGTGGTGGGACTGTGGGCTTCTTTTTATTTGTGTTTGAGTATCTTCCAAACAAAACAATAGGAGTCAGGGGGTCCTGACACTTTCAAAGTCCCACTTACCATGGGACAGAGGGCGTTTGTCCGACCCTCTCTCCCTCCCCTCAGCCCGCCCCTCCCTTCTCTTGCCCAAGAAAACCCTTGTGGTTAATGAGTCTCAAAAAAGTGAAGTGAAAGTCCTAAGTAAAAGCGGTAGTAGTTAAAGGATGCGGGCAGGGGGCACAGGAGACCCCACCGCCACCACCACCACCGAAGTTGGGAGTGAGATGTGACAGTGAGTGACCCTTTGCAACCCTCTAAAAACACTCCACGCAACTCTCCAAAAACACCACCCACTTTCGCCGGTGTCGCCCACCGAGAGACTTCAGGTCCCGGGTCATCTCCAAACCCGGAGGTGGGCGGTGAACAGGGGCGGAGTCTCAAGAGGAAGAAAACTGAGCTTCTGGACACCTGGGTCCACAGCCGGGTCCCCAGAGATGTTTCTGCCACCGCTGCTGCTGCTGCTGCTGCTGTTGCTGACCGTGGAGCCCGGTGGGACCACGTTGATACGGTACTGGGGACCCCCCACCACCTCCAAACCTGGGACGGACTCTCTCCTTCTTTGGGTGACTCCCAAACTTCGTGCCCCAGAGCCCATGACTGCTATCTCTTGGGTCCGGGATCACCAAACTGGCTTCTCACCCCTCCAGGATCCACCCTGACATCTCCTAAGACCACCGCCCTTGTAGTCCAAGATCCTCCAGCCCCAAGACCCTTGACCGGGACCCCTCTCCGTTCTCTGGGTCCATGTCTTTGGGAGGACTCTGCAGATCTCTCCTTGATCTCTGATGAGCTAGTACTGGGGTCTCTAGCCATGTGACCTCCCCCCTCCCCACACACACCAGATAATGGAGACACAGGTCTGTGACATTTAAACCGAGAATCCCCTAGAGTCACGACTTCCAAACTGTTTGGGTCTCAAGAAGTCCAGTTTTGGGGACCTCCCCCGACCTGGCCTGCATCTCCCCCCAATCTCTCCCTCCCTCTCCTCTCCACACCCCCTGAAACTCCGATCGGGAAAAGCGACACTCTTCCAGAAACCCTTTTCCCCACTTCGCATTCCGGAGGCTCTCAAAGACCAGGTCGTGGGGAGGGGCCGGGGACATGAGCAGGGAGCAGGGCTCCAAGGAGCGGCGACAGGCAGGGACAGGCTGCACGTGACGTTTGCTAGCCGGCTTTTTTCTTTTTCTTTCTGTTATTTATTTATTTATTTATTTTATTTTTTTTTATGGCGATAACCTACTTTTGAACCTAATAGGTCATGGCCAAGTCGATACAAAAAGGGACTCTCCGAGGACTTTCAACATCCCAGTGACTTGGGGAACTGGTTAGAAATGCAAATTATCAGAATCTCTCACAGATCTACTCCATCAGAAACGAAGCGTTATGAATTTTAACTAGCTCTCTAGGTCGGGGGTTGGCAAACGCTCCGCTCAAGGGCCGAATCCAGCCTGCCACCTGTTTTTGCGAATACGGTTGAATGAAACGCAGCCATGTTTATTCACTAACATGTGGCCTATGGCTGCTTCCGCTCTTCGCCAGAATTGAGTGGCAACAGAGACGGACAGCCTGAAAAGCCATTTTAAAAAAGTCTATCATCGCCCCTCCTCTAGGTGATTCTGTCCCAAGCCATAAGTTTGAGAACTACTCACATAAAGAGTTCCTTTCTCCCTTTCGGTGGCCAAATGGATGCCATTTTATACGTATTCTGCAGCAGAGTAGGGAGCCGTACCCCATGCTGGATGGGGCGTGGCCTTCAGTTTTCAAAATTAGACACATTCTCATAAATACACCTTTGCATACTTGTGCCATGATCTCCTATCGCCGAAACTCTGAGAACTGAAACTGTGTACAATTTTAAGGCCCGTGGTACATATCGCCAAACCATCTTCTGGCAAGTTTGTATCAATCTACTCCCCCTAGCCAACGATCAGTATCCATAGTTCTTTGCCAATCTGCAGGGCGAAAAGGGGTTTCTCACTCCTGTCATTTTATTTTGTGGATGACTTCTGGGGTGATGATCTATCCATGTGTTTTGAAGCTGTTTATACCTCTTTTGCAAATTACCTGCTTATGTCCTTTGCCCATTTTCCTACTGAATGTCAAGAACTGTGAAGTTAGCTTGCCACAATTTCATGGCTATTAGAAGACCCGAGAGGCCTAGGTCAGAGACGAAAGACAGTTCGTTACTCCCAGCAATAGAAGTAGCCAGAAAATCAGCATTTGTGACAGTTTTCTGAGCCCCAGTTTCTACAGGATGAAATGAGGAGGGCCAGGTGATAGCTACACATGCAGTGAGGTGCATTACAGGAGAGAAACCCTGAGCTTAAGGAACTTGAATCTTTTATAATGGATCATAAACCCATCTACCCTTTGGCCCCGGGGTTGGGGGGCAGTATCTCTCTTTCATTAAACAAAACCCTTGACAAGACAGTCTGGACAAAGGCAGTCAGTGCCTCTGCAGAACTGCAAGAGACCGGTGGGGAACTGTCTCCCAGTGCTGGATTTGTCTTATTCTTATTTATTTGTAGAAGCTCTTTGCATATTAGTAACTCTTTGAGATACAACTTGTAATTATTTCCCCCAGGTTTTCGTTTTGTCTTTTAACTTTATTTACCGTGTTCTGTACTGGGGGCGGGGAGTTCGGAAGTTTAAAATTTTAGAGTCACACTCATGCCGCCCCCCACCCCCCACAATGATTTCTGATCTTGGTGTCATGCTTTGAAAAGGCTGCCTCTTTCGAGAGTTAGTTAAATATTTTACTTCCTTCCAGGGCTCTTATAATTTCACATGTCACATTGTCATTCATATATCTGGAATGTATTTTAGTGTAGAGTGAAATGCAGGTATGGCACTTATACTTTTTTCCCCCAAGGTGGGGGAAATAGTCTCCAATATCATGAATTGAAGTTTTTGCAAAGGCCAGTTTTATGTCAGGGCCTTTGGAAAACTCTGCACGTGTGTTATTCGGAATGTGTTTTATCGAAAGGTTTGGGGGCGGGTCTGTTTGGGATGGTTTGCTCTCGCGGAGGTTTTAGGGGAAATGTGTCATCATGGTTTGGTAGGTGTTTTGCAGGGTTTCTGGTAATGACTTTTGTAGGGCCGCGGAGGTGTCTGCTTTGTCATTACATTCCATTTGGTGAAGTCTGTGATGGAGGGTCCCCGGGAAGGGCGACCTAGCTGTCGGTGTCCTCCTCCCCACAGGATTCCTCTCCGCCGGGTCTACACGGGACGCAGGACGCTGAACCCGCTAAGGAGATGGGGGAACCCGGAAGAGCCCCTCAGGATGGGGGACCCAAAGTTCATCTCTGTGCCTCTCTCCAACTTCATGAATGTGAGTCATGGCCCCCCTCCCCACACACGCAGCCCCCACGGTCCCGCCCTCAAGCTGAGTCCTTCATTTTCTCTCTCCTATTTTATTGCCATCAGGCCCAGTATTATGGGGAAATCGGGCTGGGAACGCCCCCCCAAAACTTTTCTGTCGTCTTTGACACTGGCTCCTCCAACCTCTGGGTCCCGTCCAAGAGATGCTACTTCTTCAGCCTGCCCTGCTGTGAGCGCTCATGGGGAGACGGAGCTGAGCCGGGGATGGAGGGAGGCTGGGTCTTGGCTTGCCCAGGGATGCTGAGGCGCCCTTCGCTCTGACGCGGCCTCGCGGGGGGAGGCTCCGCACCCCCGGTAACCGCCCCCTGACCTTCCAACCTAGGGTTCCACCACCGCTTCGACTCCAAAGCCTCTAGTTCCTTCAAGCCCAATGGGACCAAGTTCGCCATTCAGTACGGAACCGGGCGGCTAAGCGGCGTCCTGAGCGAGGACAAGCTGACTGTGTGTGACCTTTGACCCTGGGGGGGGGCCGGAGGGGCGGGGCCTCCAGGGCAACGAAATGGGGCTTAAGTGGGGAGGCGGGGCTTCCCAGGTAGGTGGAGCTGGTTCCAGATGTCGTGGCCCGGGTCTGACGCCTTGGCTGGGGAGCTCTCAGGGAACACGTAGGGACTGTCCTCCCAGAAGTAATTTGCCCCGTTTGAATCTTTCTCCAGATTGGGGGAATCACGGGTGCATCGGTGACTTTCGGGGAGGCTCTGTGGGAACCCAGCCTGACCTTCATTTTCGCTCGCTTCGATGGGATACTGGGCCTTGGTTTTCCCGCTCTGGCCGTGGAAGGAGTTCGGCCCCCACTGGATATGCTGGTGGCTCAGGGTCTCCTGGATAAGCCTGTCTTCTCCTTCTACCTCACCAGGTAATGCGGGAGGGCCTACCTTCCTGCGTCACTGAGCTACTGTCCAGTTAGGAAGTCACCCACCCAACACAGGAGGTTCACCTACCCAACACGACAAAACACCTAAACCCCATTCCGAAGTCCCGCTCGCTAAGCAACACCTCGAGAATACGCCAAAGAAACTCATCGTTAGTTAAAATGCTCTATGTTTCCAACCCAAGCAGGAAATTCCGTGCCCTAGCCAATGAAACACTCAATTAAAAAACCCCTCTTTACCATAAAAAAAGCCCGAATTCCATTTTAGAATGTACAGCAGAAGTCAGGAGTTACCCATATTTTCATCCACGCAGTCACTCTTACTTTTTAGAAAGGGCGGCCTAATCCTGGGAAAGTCTCACCCGGTTGCAGGAAGCGCCCACCTTCCCTCCCAGAGGCCCATCCCCCACCCCTCCGCCCCGCCCCAGGCAGAAATTCCTATGCCCAGTTATTCTGATGTCCAACCTGCTCAGGAAGTCCCGCCCGCCTCGTGGTGGATCCTGGGCTCCCCCCACCCCCCAGAAGTCCTGCACCCTCTTCCAATCACTCTCACCCAACTCAGGATATCTGTCACCTCTGGATTTCGAGACATGTAATTAGAAGTCTCCCCATCCACCCATCAGGAAGCCCCCCCCCCACTTCTACATGATCACACTTTCCAGAGTCAATTCAGAAACCCCAATGCTCTACTTCAGTCTCCCCCCAAAAGTTCTCCTTTCCACAGCCAAATCAGGAAGTCTCACCCCCCCACCCCAAAGCCCTAAAATCCTAACTGCCACCAAGAAAAGCCCATTTCTCTTCGCTTCTTGCCTCGCTTCCAGTCCCAACACCCAGGCCCTGCCTACATCTCGGTACCCCATTTAGAACCTGGAAACCACCCCACCAGCATAAGTCCCATACTGGGCCACTCCTGGGGCTGGCAGGGGAAACTCCGGCGACAGATGGCGCTGTCTCTGCAGGGACCCTGAAGAGGCTGATGGAGGAGAGCTGGTTCTTGGTGGCTCGGACCCAACACACTACATCCCACCACTCACCTACGTGCCGGTCACGGTCCCCGCCTATTGGCAGATCCACATGGAGCGGTGAGGGGCCGGGTCCCCTAGGCCTGGGGGGCATGGGCTGAGACCGAGCTCCGTCGTATTTTGGGGAAGGGAACCGGGGACCTGGACTCTTGGCTCTGATGACTGCCCCCTTCTGCCGCACAGTGTACAGGTGGGCACAGGGCTGACTCTTTGTGCCCACGGCTGTGCTGCCATTCTGGACACAGGCACCTCTCTCATCACGGGACCCTCCGAGGAGATCCGGGCCCTGCATAGAGCCATTGGGGGCATCTCCCTGCTGGTGGGAGAGGTGAGGACCCGGTGTCTGGTGGGGCTCATATTGTACTGTTAGGTACTCGGGAGTGGGGCATTGGGGCGAACTGGAGAGCACGAGCCCCTTTGATCTGAAAAAGGCAGCTCCCGGCTGCTTGGCTCCAGCCAGGTACTGGCCTGTGGGGAAAGCCAGGTTTTCTGGTTTGTTGGAGAAACGTGAACACGTTATTTCAAAGCTCTTGGTTTGTAAATACTAATAGTACTTACTACGCGTCAGGCATTCCTCCAAGGTAGCTCCCACACATCCCTACCAGGTAAGCATTATCATCACCTACATTTTCAGCTTGGAAAATGAGGCACAGGGAGGTCAAGCAACTTTATAAGGTTGCACAGCAGCGGACTCCACCGGATGCCTGTACCACCGTGGTGTACAGTTGGTACTGATTTTTAAAACATTTCAGACACGGCGTAAGACAAATGAAAATACACCTGTGGGTCCCAAAGCGGGGACGCCAGTTTTTGATGTACAATTAGATAGAAAAAGACGGTTTGATCCAACGGGGATCCAGGGTACGTAGCGACAGTTATATAAGGTGAAAGTAGGGAAGGGAAAGCTAGAGAAAGCGGCGGGGGCCTGACCACACGAGGCTCTGACCACCCAGCTGCCCCGGGTGGCGGGGAACGCGGGCCCCCGCGGGCAGGTGGCGCAGAGCACCGGCGCCTCCACCTGGTCCTCTTCGCCCTCAGTACCTGATCCAGTGCTCGCTAATCACGGAGCTGCCCCCCGTCTCCTTCAACCTCGGTGGAGTCTGGTTTAACCTCACGGCCCAAGACTACGTCATCCAGGTAGGCAGACGCGGCAATGACGTCAGAGTGACGCGGCCGGTTGGGTTGGAGAGGGTGGGGCCGGGGGTGAGACCTCCCAAGGACGGAGAAGGGGCCGCAGAAACATCCCTTGTGCCCCGAGATAGTGGGCGGGCTCGGCGGGCGTCACAGCCAGTGGCCCGTTTTGTCGCCTTGCAGATTGCTCGGGGTGGTGTCCGCGTCTGTTTGTCCGGCTTCCGGTCCTTGGACATGCCTCCGTCCTTAGGGCCCCTCTGGATCCTCGGCGACGTCTTCTTGCGCAGCTACGTGCCCGTCTTCGACCGCGGGAACATGACAGGAGGCGCCCGCGTGGGGCTGGCGCGCGCTCGCTCTCGGGGAGCCAGGCGCTGACGGGGGTGGCCCACGCAGGCGCATGCGCGCCGGTCGGCGGCCAGACCCGCCGCTTAGGGAAAATTCGCTGTTTCCATTAAAACTACCTTGGCCGCTTCTTCTTTTTTTTTTTTTTTTTAATTTAAGCGCCTAATTTGTGCAGAGAAAAACTAGCATCCGGCTCTCTGGACTTGAAGAAAGGAATGGGGAAGGCATCGCTCCTTTTCTCCAGGGCTCACGCTGGGCGAGGGGTCTCGTACTACGAATCCCATGAAGCCCCTCGCCTACTCTGCCTCTCCTGGGAGGCGCGCGACACCGCGGAGCATCACGGGCGTTGTGGTTCAGGCGATGTTTTCTGGTCGCCGGGGGCGGGCGCAGCCACAACATGCGTGGGAGGCGACAGGTCGCGACGGCAGCGACAGGTGGCAGTGTGTGTGTGTATGGGGGGGTGGCTGAAATCGTAAAGGATTTTCCATCCCTTGTTCTAAGGAGAGGGGGTGTCGTTCCCGCAGACTTCATCTCCTGTCCCTCTCGTGTCTTGAAATTCCGGGACCCCTGGGTCCGCCATGAAGGCGGGGCCTGAAGCCCCCGGTTTGGGGGGAGCTGTGCTGCCCCTCCTCCGCTGATGATGTCACTCCCCCCTCCGCAGCCTTTTGCTGTCCAGAGCTGCCGGGGCCGGGTCACCCCTCCCCCCATCGCCAGCCCCGGAGTCCCCCATCCCCGCCCCGCCTCGACTTGGGGTGAGTACAGGGGAGGGGGAGAAAGCTCAGGGTCCGGGGGCGGTAAGACAGCCCAAATCTCAGTTTTGGAGGCGGGGGACTCGGCAGACAGGGACTCAAAGATTCCAGCGGAGAGATTCCCCCTCAATAACGATCTTTGGGAGCCAAGGTATTTGGAGGGTATCGGGGAGGGCCAAAGATCGTAGGCAGAGTTCCCACATTTTCAGCGTTAGTGTCCGGGAGACCCTCTTTCCTGGATTTGGAACTGACAGGAATGGAGCAGAGGAACGAGATCTTAGAAGGGAAGGGGAAGACCCCGATCCCAGGGCCTTGGGGAATGGGGGAGGGAGAGTTAGGAGGGGGAGCCGAGGATGACAGAGGTGGGAGTTTGGAGCTTTCAAGAATTTAGGAAGGAGGAAGGGTGTGGGAAGGATCTGAAGACGCAGACAGACATTGGCCTCTCTCGTCCTGGTGTCCGTCGCCAAAATCGAGTCTACTTCCCCTGGGCTGTTTGCAGGGTTGGGTGTTCCGTAACCCCAGCCCCCATTACGCCTCCAGAAGCATCGCCCACTCTCAGCTCTGCATGGGTGGAGAATCCAGGCTAACAAATCCGCCACATACCCTGGGAAGGCCAGGGCAGAGCCGTGAGGGAGTGACGGCATCCAATTTCCTAGCGCCTGATGGAGTCTGGACTATCATCCTGTTACTCCTTGCCGGACGCCTCCTCCCGCCGCCCACGGTCTCTAATCTCGTATCTCATCCCTTATTCTCCCCTATCCAACCCCCCTCCCCTAGCCCGCACCTTCTCCCACACCTTCTGACCTCTGCGAAAATGCTGATTTTGTAACCTGATCCCGTGCTTGGCTGCTGCCAAAAGCAGAAAAGAAAGGGGGTGGGTGCGTAAGAGAGGATGGCTGACTTCGATCCTCACCCTAACCTCCTCCCTGCCCCTAGTCCTACCTAACTCCTGCTCCAGCCTCTACCCGGACTTGCCCAGAAGCCTCCCTCAACCCAAGCCCAGTCCCTCACCTCAGGATTCACTGCTTCTGCCCGAGGATACACCAGAATTCCGGGCAGAGAAGAGTAGGAAGCCCGAATGTCTTTTCTCTGCCCTCCTTGGTCCCATCCGGGGCTTGAAGGCTGCCTGAGAGTACTGGATCAGAGGCAGTGGGAAGTCCAGGGTCTGGGGGGTGAGGGAAAACGACCTCCTTGGTCCGCAGGACAGGCCCTACTTCTGCAACTCTGCAGTGACGCAGCCTGGAGTCCTGGCCAGGATAGGGGATTCGAGGGGGTGACGGGAGGGGGAGCCTGAAAGGGACAGCGATCCAGAGACAGGGACAGACTGAAGGACAGCGGGACAGTGAGTGTCCCAAAGAAGTGCGACAGAGACCCAGAAAGAGGGGGACAGAGACTCAGAAGGAGGTGAAAGAGACAGGGGAGGAATAGAGACCCGTAGAGGGGACAGAAAGAGACAAGGCAGTGAGGGCGGGAGAGATGGGGGGGAAAGAGACAGAGAGCGAAGACGTCAGAGAACAAATGTGAGGGGGCAGAGACCCAGAGAGAGAGCGAACAAGGACTGGGGGGGGCACTGTAGGACAGAGACACAGACGAGGATCAGAGATCTGGAGGGCACAGAGACCCACACCCAGGGAGAGGGGGACAGGCCCAGAGAGGCAAATCAAAAAGGTACAGAGCCCAAGAGAAAGACACTGGGGTGGGGCACTGAGACATGGTCGGGGGAAATGATACTGAGGCTTAGAAGAGGGGCAAAGACTCAGAAAGAGGGAGACAGATTCAGAGAATAACAGCACAGCGACCCAGAGGGAGGGCGGAGACTTAAAAAACGGGGCCAGCCAGAGTCTCAGAGGGGTGAGGGTCGAGCTGGGAGGACAAATACTCAGAGAAAAAGGGAGGGGAAAAAAAAGACACCAAGAGACACAGAAACGGGAACGGGGGCGGGTGGGGAGGCGATACGAACCAGCCGCCGCACCTGCAGAGGGAGGCGGCGGGCCAGGGACGGAGCCGCGCGACGAAGCCCGCAGCCCCTGACCCG